GCCTTAATTTTGACACCTTTCAAGACATGATAGCATTGACTCCGTATTGAAAGATGTGGATGCGATTACAGATGGCCTTGGTTTTCAGTCTACATACATTTCTGGAACAAACATTCTGTTTCCAAACACTTGAAGATGCGTAAAGCAAAAGCGAAGGGGAGAACCTGGCCAGAAACTATGGAGTCACCGTGCAAAGTTGTAAATGAATTGTCATGAAGCTGGGGTGCCTTGCAGCTCAGCTTCTAGCAAAACAAGAAGGTCCACAACCTTACACCTTCATTTGCCCCACGCAGTTGAAAGTTCAGATCCCTAATTAGGAGTTTTGCCTCCAGGACAGAAAGAACCCTCTGACAGACAACCCATTTTTATTTATACCTGCTGACCCACTGACACTGGAAGTTCCTCTCTGTTGTGATGTAAATCTTGGGCACTTTTGGGGGTTTGTTTTTGCCTGGCTCAGAATAGGTTTTGGGGATGGGCAGTTCTGGGGGGGGGGAGGGAGGGCGAGGGCGTTAGGAGGAAGAAAAAAATGGGAGCAGGGCTTTGACCTGCCAGAGAGGAGCCCCTGCTGACACGGTCAGTCTGACCCATTGAATGGCCTGAATACGGTAAATGCCGCTTTATTCTGCCTTGAAAGGCACGAGATAGCACAGTCTAAATGCTTGGGCATGCTTAAATAGGCGACTCGGGATGTTTGAGTTGAGCGTGTTTGAAATCTGAGCTCTCTGACAGCCTGGGAGCTGCCACAGGTCACCTGCCTTGCTCCGCAGGGACAGACCAGGTCTCACAAGAAATTGTCCGTAGACGAATTGTAGTACAAATTCCTTTCTTTGTTGGTTGGCCTCTTTCACTAGACCATGGCCTATAAAATTTTGTAAAAACAATTCTTAAATATTATTTGAAAGGGCAAATGGCCCACGCTGAAAGGTTTGACAGTTTGACATATAGTGCATGGTTTTGATAGCTCGGAAACTGGAAAGTGTGGCCAGGATTCTCCCCCTGCTCGTTAGAAGCCTGGTGTTTTTCATGGAGTGTCTTGTTGCTGCTGAGTCCCTCTGCCCCTTGCAATCTGACAGGCAATGAGTCCGCTTCAGCGAGCTTCAATCCTTTTAGACTAATTCGTGAGAGAGCAGAAAAATGGCTAGCACCTTTGAATCCAGCGTCCAAAAAGAACAGAACCAGGTATTGCCAATTAAGGAGCCATTCGGATAATCATATCAAAGCAGATTGCTTCAGAGGCTTCTCATAAGGCCAGAGCCAGTGCCCAGTGCGGGGTGGGGGTGGGGGTGGGGGGCAGAGTTTCACTTGAGTGAGGGGGGAAAAAGGGATTTGAGCGCCTGGTCTCATCAGAGCTGGGGAGTCACAAGGAAGTGGATTTCTGCATTAGAATTTTGCATTTGTGTAGGCAGTGTGTGCTCTGGCCCATCGGCTGCCTCCGCATAGCCAAAGGCCATTTTCGCGAGCCTCTGGCCCCTCAGTCACTGGCCTGCTAGTTAATTGCCACATGGACTTCATGACACATGGGCAGATAATATGACATTTTCGGTTTCTGTCACTAGCAAACGCCACAACGTTGCTTGCACTAGTTGCTAAGAAGCTGTCAGAAACCATTAGCAATTGGCTAAAGTCGCCCTATGGCATTTCCTCATAGCATCAGCAAAACGAGCATAAATCACCCACTGGAGCCTACTGCTATCCTAATGAGGCTGTAAGCTTGTTTATGGACTAGCATCATTTTTATGATTATTTCCACCTTTTCAGTTTGCCTTCATTTGGCGGCAGGAGAAGTCAGCTCCAGGAATGAAGTCACTGCTGACATTTTACAAATGGGGTTCAGAGCTGCTGCGTGCTGCCATGTGGTCGGCCGGCGGTTCTGCAAGTTTGTTTAGTGATCTTAAAAATAAAAAAAGGAAATAAATCCTCCAGAGACCGCATCGAGGTGACTGTATCAAATTGCAGAGTGAATGGAAATGCTCAAGGTACAATTGACCATTTAGACTTTCCTCTGAGGTTGAGACGTTTCGAGATCAATTTTCAATTCTAGAAAGTGGAAGAGGTTAAACAATTTATTAAAATCTATGAAAGTGTTTGCTTTTAGAATCGTCTGTTTTATTATGCTCCTCTCCTTCCCCATCTTCTCCATTTCCCTAACTTGTGTCGGGAAGGAGCAGGGTTTATTGTTTTAGGCTTTTCTGAACATGCAGCAGTATTTACACTGGATTGAAAGCATTTGCTTCCAATGAAAATCTTGTCTTAGATTACAACCCAGCAGTGTAATTTCCCTCCCAGATGGGAGTAAAGTAGCTGTATTTGCCTAAAAACAGTAGGAAGAACAAACTGTGCATTAAGCCAAGGCTGTTTTTGGCTTGAGCTAATGATGTAATAGAAACCTTTTATTCGGGAGAGGTCACTGCCAGGGACTGAAGGGGGTGATCTGGCTCCTGCTTGAAAGGGTTCTCCATTGTGTCTACATAAGTCTTCACTTAAAAAATTCTGTTCCTAATGCTCCTGCTTTCATACAGCAGAAATAAACAGGAAAGGTTCTGGTGAGTGTTACACATGGAATGCAGAAAGCCTTCCTCTCCTAATGGAGTATATAATTCAGGTGCCCTCAAGGCATGCTTTCAGGAATTCTTTTGCCTGAGGTAATGGGAAGCTAAGGCTGCTTTAAGGCCTTGATTATCTATTGATGCACAAAGCTGGAAAAAAGTCATCTCCGCTGGATTATAGTAGATATTTCCATAAATTATCAATGAATTCTCTTCGAGGCAGGCACTAGGCATTGCCTGCTAAATTAATCTGAAGGGGTTTTGAGACGGATGGAAAGGCTATTTTTTTTTTTAAGGTGGAAAACAATCATGGAGAGGTGGTGAAAAACTGTCATTAGGTTAGAAGCTTTTCATTTTTAATCAGTGATCAAGTAATATGTTTCTTTTCCTTGGTTACCTTTTGCATATTGAAAGTGGATTAGCCCATTGAAATTTTAAATGCTGTTGAGTTGGTTTCTTTTCTCATGTTTCTTTAATGAATTGTTATTTTATATGGTGAATTGCTTCTCTGAATAAAAAGCCTCTTTAAATAGTGGACTTTCAAGGAATTTATTAGGCAAATCCAAGGGGACTCCTTATAAAACACTTGGTTATGCAAAGAGTTTGGTGGGGGTGGAAGGAGCACTGATTTAGGGATACGGGTGTCTGGTCCGGCAAGCCCCATCCCTGCTGCGTGACCTTGGGCAAGTCACCCAAGCACTTTCTTCACTGCTGCTACAGCGAGGGCTTTGGGACTGTGGGTCTTTACGATCTTTTCCACTGAGAGCACAGCTATGATCCTGTGGAACTTTAACAGAATAGATGGATTTTTAAATACAATAAAATGATGGATTTTTAAATTAAGAAAAATCACACTCAGAAAAGTTCTGCAGAAGTTTTGTGTGGCATACGCTGTAATCATAGGAGAAATGTTGATATTTAGTCTGTTCCTCACGCAACAGTTTTTAAACTTTACCTCAGTACAAGTTAAGGCAATCTGGGGGCAATTTCCTTTTTTGGGGGGGATGGGCAGGGGACTCCTGAGGGAGCTGTTAGGAACAATTGATGAATGGCAACATAATGACTATCGATTAGACTGAAATAACTGAAATCAAGGTAGTAAGTATATTTGTACCTAGTGTATTTAGGTAACAGAAATAAGGAATATGAAATAAGTTCACGAAGCTGTGTAACTGAGTATGAGGCTAGTTCCAATGTACAGTGGCTAGGAAACTTGTCTTACCGAAGTACCCGATTCCTGGGGCATGTCCACGGCTCTCCAGTGAAGTGCATAACCCAGGGAATGTGCTCTTAGATGTATGTGTTGCCTCATGGCAAAGCCTTGCTGCTGTAGCTCTTCTTCCTGGGCCGGATCCACCTGTCCCTTTCTCAAAGTCGGTACCTTCTTCGGAGGCACGTTTGACAGAAGCCAAGCTGCTTTTTAGTGTAGTGGTTTTAGTCCAGGCTTGTTTTCCCTCTGAAGTTTTGTGCCAAGCACAAGATACTTAGTTTCCATTTGTACCTTATGACTTGTTTTGGACAGTGTGGTTATTTGGGCTGAAATTTCATTTTTTGTCTTATTAAACATGGCACTGTAAAAGGAATACTACGTTTTTTGTTTTATTGTGTCACAGAGCCAGAATATTTTCTAGAAGAAACAACATAAATGTTATAACACAAATCAATGGAAGACTAGGATCCAATATTCAGGAATTTGTAAACAGGTGACTTTTCAAATGAGAAAGATTTAAATCTAGAAGAAATTTTAGAAACTGCCTGGATTTTTAGGGTAATACAATTCCAATTGACTATTCATTTAACATCACTTTATTTGACTTACACAGTAATTGTTTCCTAATTAAAAAACTATTTCAGGAGTTTTGCCCTTAGTAAACTTGATGCTCTCTTTTTATGACAAGAAGAATTATATTCTATTTGAAGCATTCCTATGTCAAATCGCTTAGATGATGGACTACTTACATCTCCGTGGCCTACTTTAGTTTTAAGATAGATCACTTGTGGAAATAGTTGATATCTTAAGTGCGTCTTCTCACAAGTTGACATCAACGACTATATGTGGGGTTTGAATACCCAGGCAGGGACGGCACCTCTGCCCATGGCCACCACCATATTTAACTCCCCAGTAGGAGTTACACTTACCACGTCTCAGCTATACACATCTGAATCATTACCACGGAACAAAGAAAGCTACTGAAGAGATTGGCTATTTCCCTTTATTCCCTTTGACCTTTCCCACTGTTCTTTGGAAGAAATTCCTTAGACCTGACTACTTTTGAGCCTAGGCCTTGTTCTTTCTCTTTGTCTTGGAAAAAAAAAAACAAAAAAACAGTACCAAATAAACTATTAATCATTTATATTGCTCTTTTGGTTTTGTGTATATCCAAAGGCATTCTATTTGAATAAAGCATGTCAAGGTAGCATCAGTCAAAATTTGATTCACTATGTTTGCAGGTGATGGCTTGGACAACAGTGTAGCTTCCCCCAGCACAGGTGACGATGATGATCCAGATAAGGACAAAAAGCGTCACAAAAAGCGTGGCATCTTTCCCAAAGTAGCCACGAATATCATGAGGGCGTGGCTGTTCCAGCATCTAACAGTAAGTGGATTCTAAATGACATATGTAAACTAAATATGGACGGTGAACCAGTTGTGAGAGAAAAAAAAATGGGGGAGAAGTGATCCCCTCTGCACTTGGAATATTTCATAAGTCACTGTGTTCCTCTAGTTTTTACAAAAGCGTTAGCACTTAATTTCCTAGATACTTACCCCAAATGAGGAGTTTTATTTGAAGTTCACTATTGCAATTTTGTTAACTGTAAGTTATAAGGTTTAGGAGTTCATGTGACTTGTGATTTTAAGTATGTATGTTAATGATGTTGCTTTTCTCAGTGTGACTCTGAGGTACTTAGAATCAACTCCTACTAAGAAGAAAGTCAGCCAAACCCCAGAGAGAAGGACTTAATTTCTTCTAACGCTTTAGTGGACCTTTGTAGCGAACGGTCCAAAAAAGTTTAAATCTTGTTGCAATGGCAAGATGCTCACATAATTTGCTTTTAAGTGGTTTGAATGGCCTGGTTGCCATTCCAAAACATTCATCTGAGTCAGGGCTGCACAGTGAAAGTTGTCCCTGTACTTAGAACTGTAAAGGAAAACAGCAATATAGAGTCGGCTCTTCCTGTGTAGTCCCTTGTGACTTTTCAAGCAGAGTAACAGTTTATATTGTCTGTGTGAGTATTGCTGTTTTCACTGCAGGAATTCTCCTGGAGATGTGAGAAACTGGAGATTGGGGGCTTTATGCCACCAAGGGATTTGTTTTGTTTGGTTATTGTTCTGAATGAATTTCATGTTCAAAATATTTATAATCATAATATTTTGGTGGATATTTTTGTAAGTGCATACTGATTTAATGACATCCAGGGAAGAAGACCAAATGAAAATTTATGGATAAAATAATACTTTAAAAATCAGCAAAATTGTTGGCAAGGGGGACTTTCACTATTAGGGGCAAAGGTTGAATTTAAATAGGTCATAGCCTCGCCTCGCCTAGCCTAGCCTAGCCTAAAATGAATGAATGCTAAAAATCTTGGCTTTTTGAAAAATGTCAGAAGCAAACTCTTTATGTTACCATTTTTAGCCTAGTTTGCTTTTTTTGAAAGTCATTTATTTGTACGTATCAAGGTTAATTCTGCGTTGTCCCCGATGTACCCAGGTCTGTTGACCCTCATGCCTTTGCCCACTTTCAGAGCTATGTTCCTCAGTGATTTGTACTGTTACAGGGAGACACACAGGGGCTGTCGAAGGCCACGCTGGGTCTGCTCCTCTGGATAGAGGCTGTGCCTCCAGTAACACTTGAGGGTATAAATTAATCCAGGTTTTCCAGCATCTGTGAATAAAATAAAAACTGAGAGCAGCGGGAGTACTTAAAAAAAAAAAAAGTTTCCTCTCTCTCTTCCAGCCATCGTGATTCCACACAGCCACTAACCTCCACTGACAGTTCTGGAATCAGCTTCGGAGGTTGGTTAATGCTGGTTAATAGTTAGTTGAAGCTTGAGATGGCGTAGCTGATTTTAACATCACATAAGGTTTACCAAAAACCCAATTCGGGTGCCATTACTTACTGACACTTGTAACATAGATGTGGATAGTTTGAGATCTGCCTTGTGCAAGGTGTAAGGTTGCTGCTGAGATTACCAACCTCGACTGAAGGGGTAGGGGGAAGGAAGGGCGAGGGTCCGGAGGGCATGGCGGGCACAGGAGGAAGAATAAATAGCAGGAGATAAGAAGAGACAGTCGGTCAGAGGTGCTGATGCAGCCGTGCTGATATTTCGTCACTGGGGCTGACCAGCCAACCTGATCTGGAGGATGAGGGAGGGAGGGGACAAAATCAGGTGGCCCCGGAAGTTACAACCCGAGTCTATTTCCTGTACTAACAGAAAAAAAAAAAAAAAATGAATGGATTTCGTCAGCCTGCATCTCAGTCTACAGAGGAGCTTTGGCTTTCCTTGAAGCTGAGATGCCCCTGAATAAAATATAATCAAATATTGGTTCAGACAGAATCGGGAGAGAGAGAAGCAAGTTCTTTTATTCATCCACCAGGTTTCCTGGTTTTCTAGGTCATACCCTTGGGAAGAACCTTGCAGAGAGCTATATTATCTTCTTAAAACAAAACAGAAAACTTCTTTAGCAGCCAGCAGGATCTTACCTGCATTGCGGTGCTTTTTGTGGTCCATATGTTATTGGGACAATTGGATTAGAAATTATTCCTAAACTGCCTGATTTCTTGAGGTTGGGCTAATTTCTTTCAGTTTGGGGGTCTGTACTGGCCTGACCACCACCCTGGAAGGGGAAACCCATTCGTCTACATCTCTATGAAGGCTCACGGAAATTGCCTTGTGGTTCACATTGGGCATGCCCACCTGCTTCCCCACTCCACTCCCATGTGCTCATACAAAAATATCGATAATGGTGACCATCTCGAAAAAGCAAATGTCTCATAATGTCATCTAAAAAACAAAGGAGATATATTTAAATATTCTCCCTCTTTCCCACCCCCAATGAAAGCCATTCCCTTCCCTCTTCTCAATTGCAAGACCAGCTAGATCTCCAGTTATCAGGAACACCCTTCCCCTTGTCTTGTTATACTTCTTGAAGGAATGCACAAACTGTTTAGGTAATTGTTTATAGTCAGGAGCTGATAATAATAAATTCTACGGGAAAAATCCCGTAGAGTTTAAGGAAAGTTTTGTTATTTGTTCAAATGTAAGTAAGTAGTGATAGCTCTGTACTAATCTTTTAGCAACTTTATTTCAAGTTCTGTGAGTTCTTCGGGATGCGCAATTCATTTGGAAGTTGCTACAGATTTTAAATGATCACATTCTTGCTATATGATTAATGTAACTTCTCTAGAAAATCCTGTCTGAAATCTTGCAAGATACAAAAGAGCGACTGAAACTCTGGCTAATTAAAACAATAGCAATAACAACTTATTAGCAAATTGTAAAAACTAATCTTTTAAATGCCAAATGGCATATTATGAAAGCTCACATACCTTTTTTTTTTTTTAAAGATTTTATTTATTTATTTGAGAGAGAGAGAATGAGAGAGAGCGAGTACATGAGAGGGGGGAGGGTCAGAGGGAGAAG